GGGGAAGGAGGGTTATGGATGTTTGAGTTCTGTTTGAGTCAACTAAGTCATCTCTTCATTCATCCAAAGCTTTTTCTCCGTTTCCACCCTGTAAATATGTTGCCTGTGAAGATGTCTTCAGAATAAATGTAAAATTGCATTTTTTAAAATGCTTCGCCGAAGTTCTACAGCTGGCTGCTTCTCGACATAATCCTTCCACATCTTTTTTCATGTCTTTTCTGCTGTCCCGGGCCACACAATTTTATACATCTATCTCCCGTATAAATCTTCAATCACTCAAACTCCAGATAGTCTCGTACGTGTATTACCCTTTTGCCATCATCAAACGATAAGGATGGTGTAACAGAGGAGAAAATTTAAGTCCGCGAAAAGAAACGGATTTTCAAATGAAAAACGTGTGACGATGCAGCTGACGTCTCCCCTCTGCGGAATACTTCATTTCACCTACCTTTATGAGTGTTTTTTGTCGACTCTCATATCTGTCGATATTTCTCGCAGTATGATTGGAAAATATCTATCTGACCAGGGAAAGTCCCTCACGCTAGGACGAGGATTGATGAAGCTGTCATCGGAAGAGCCCCGAAGACGAATGAATTTCCTTGTCGCCGCCGGAAAACGGACATGACGCTCCTTAGTGATGGACTTGATCGCCCTTCGCATTGTGTTTTTTTTTAAACTGTCATTCTGTCCGCGTGCATTCATGAGAGTGGATTCATTCTACTTTGACCAGCGTAGGATTGATTGTACGTCGACGCAAAGGGCGACGTGCAGTGTTCAGGACTGTTCGTGTGCTTGACTGAATACCGTGCGCTCGCTTTATCCAACCAGTACTTTGTGTCGGCTTCCATTCCAGTCATTGTACCAAAATATTATTCTCTCGTCAAATGGACTACTATACGATCGGTTTGAATTTCGCGCTCCTCAAACACAGCTCCCAAGGGAACATTCCATCAGGCTCGCCTTCGAGTACGCCATCACTGCTGTCGCCTGCGGAGAGGGACATCGGTACCCTTGCATTCCAAACCTCGCATGGCGAATCTCAGAGGAGCCGGTGCAAGTGACAACAGTAACAATGAAAGAAGAAACACTTGGATCAAGATGGGAGGCGTGGCTTTGTTGCTCTTGGGTGTCGTAGTCGTCGCTGTCACACTTGGCCTCGAGCGTAGAACGGACAAGGTGAGTGATGAGTTGAGCTTTAATTACATAAGCCCTTGTAATGGCATGCTTCATGACGATAGACCGTCGCAATAAGAGCTCAAGTCCTGTATGCTTGACGTGAGGCATGACTCCTTGAATTGTATGACTTTTTACACAAACAGAGTACCACGCCCGTCGCCTTCGAAGGGCCTGAGCCTAGTGCGTCCACCGTCCAGCCTGCTATTGTCACGGAGTCCTTGGCTGAGAATGTCAGCAAGAACGACAAAGAAAGTACAACGGTACGTGAATGCGTTTGAATACCTTCAATCGGACAATCAGATGGTCAACCTAGAGTTTTCAACATGACGCGTTGCCCGAAAAAGCGCCTCCGGACAAATATACGACAATATGCTGACCTGCGTTGCGTACATAATGTTCAAAACAGAAACCCCTCGCGGATGATTCCTCAGAAACGCTCGTCGATCCTGCGTCGACGACGTCCTCGACGAGCAATACTGGCAACGCAGGAACATTTTTTGAAAAGGCCGACGAGGTGAGTGAAAAAAGAGTTAGGATATCAAGACCTCATTTTGCTTACTTCTCGATGGATGCTAGTATCGTTCCAGCTCCTCTGATATACTTCGCATAGTGAGTGCCAATGCTTGTGCGGAAAAACCATGACCTTCAATGTATTGTCGCCTCTCCGCTTTTGACCCTTGTCCTGGTCTTCACAAACCCTAACCCTGACTCTAAAGCATCATACCTCGGATGTCATACCGTCTTTCGCATCACTGTCGTCGTTGACATCAAGCCCTCCCCTTCTGATGTACATCCGTTCCCGCTTCCACACAGGTGACGACGTCGTTTGGGAACAAGCTTCTTGGCGGAGCCGCATCCTTGGCTCTGGCTGTTGGTAGTGGAAACCAAGATGCTTGCCGGGTCGCGAATGCGGGAGAGCTGGAAGATGCAATCGAACGCAAAACGTGCGCCGTTGTGATCCTGACGTCTTCCGAACCCGACGCGTACGTTCTGGAGCGTGAGATTGTGATCTCACGCGCGGTTGTAGTCATGGGAAACAGTGTCATGCTCCCCTTCATCGACTGCAAGGACATCGTGCGAGCCTTCCGGGTGGTCCCAGGAGGGTTCCTGGATCTGCAATTTGTCCGTATAAATATCGGTAAAGGCTTCGTGCGTCCCCGCTGGGGCTTGTTCCGCAAGCAAAAGACGCGAAGGAACTTGCGTGGGGAGGAAATTATCTTGGACGAGGAGGTACGATTAAAATTTGACAGAGGAGTTTGTCTGTATATTGGATGGCAGAGGCAATGTAACGAGCAATGCTCTTCATATTGAACGTGGCATCTGCCTGGGTTGGGATCGCATTCCTCGTCCCTTTTGCCATGCATCTGCCTCTTGTATCGTAAGGAATGTTCATATGCCCCCGTTACCCCCACCGATTTCAATCTCTCCATAGGAGGACGATTGGCGCGAGCCTCGAACCAAGGAAGAGCGGGAAATGGTCCGGAACTTGCAGTTAGGAGGACAGGCTGCCGACGCAGAGCCTGGGGAAGTGATTGACATTCGCGGCGGCAGTGTTTACTTCGAGCCCGGGGCGCTTGGCGGGACCTTCAACGGTAAGAATGATGGGAAATAGTAGTTCCCGTGTCAGTCTTGAATCTCGCCTCATAAAAATTGTCTTCTTGTCCCTACAGGGATCTACTTCACGTCTGACCAAACCGATGTGGAGGACATCATGGTCGCGATCGAGCAGACCACGAACCTGATTGGCATCCGGATCTGGGGCGGACACGTCCTTGTCGCCGACGGAGACGTCTCTTTCAATGCGTGTGTCTTTTATGACTTGGAGCTCCTGACTCCGCTGAGCGACCGAATTTATTTCGGGGGAGATGTCCTGGTGCTGGCCGGGATGGTCCGGTTCACAGGATGCCATTGGTTCTACTTCACCGTTATCGGCGCGGAGAACGGTCTAGGCTTCAACACGGCCGTCTTTGGCGGTGTAGCTATCTACACGGGATGCTCCTTCCAGGAGGCCAACGCCGTCTCCGCTTTCAATGGGGTGGGCCAAGCCTTCTTTGTAGGAGGAGGCGTGCAAGTCGTCACCGGCTGCAGCTTCTCCTATTTCTCTGCGGTGGAGATCTTCACGGGGACAGGGGAGTTGACCGTCCTGGCAGGTGTGCAGATCATCACAGGCGTGCCCTGGTCCGAGTGGTACGGTGTCTTTGCCTACTTTGGGGCTGGTCTTGACTACTGTGTGGGGGCAGGCGTGCTGATTTTGACAGGAGCCCCGCTGAACCAGTGGAGCGGGCCCATATGGGGCAGCGTGGCGGGCGACTACTTCTTTGTGGGTGCAGGTACCTTCTCCTCGCACGGCTCCCCTGTCGCTCAGTACATGTCGATCGGCGGGGAGGCCGGGAGCGGGTGCTTGGGCTACGTGGCCACGGGGACGGCTGTCTTGATCGGGGCACCAGTCAATGATTTCGCAGGGATCTGGACGACGTTTGGGATTGGAGAATACTACGGTGTCTCGGCCGGGCTGCTTGTCATGATCGGGTGCCCTATGCTGGAGATCACGGGGATTGAGTTTTTCCAAGGCTTAGGAGGGGCGGTTTACGTCGGGGCTGGGGGTGCTGTGTTGGGACACAGTCCTGTGCTTGAATTTGTTGCATTAGTGAATGAGCATTTTGACTTTTGGATCGCGGGTAGTTGTGAGCCGGAGCATGGAGCTTGGGCGCCTGGAAAGGCTTTCTTTATTCCTGGTGGCATGGGATGTGAAGAACACGAGGATCATGACGACCATGACGATCACGATGACCACGATGACCACGATCATGTAGAAAGACGCTTTGCCACTCGCCGACGCCTGCAGGCTCTGGCGACGGCCCTGCTGGGATCCAACCAGGCCCTGGCGCCGGGCTTGACCGACCAGTTTGCGGCGGGCGACTTGAGCTTGGTGGCTTTCAACATTTCCAAGAAAGAACTCGAGTTCGGGGACCCCGCACAGCTCCGGCCCCTGGCAAAGATCGTCCAGGATCCGCAGATGCTGCTGGCAGCGGGGATGGGGTTCTCGGAAATGAAGGATGCTCTGGTCAAAGTTGCGCCCGCTTCTCCCTCGAACCGCACCACCATGTACATCAACGGAGCCCGCGATGGGTTTTGCAGCCTGTGCAACGTAGACAGCGTGAGCGGACCAGGGCTCTCTTCCTGTGATGTTGACGCCTGTGCTGCCCCAGGGAGCGTCGCGGCTCAGGGAGGGCCGGTCTTGAACGACTACAAGGAGCACTACGTGATCATGGCTGATTTGGACGTGACGAGCCGTGGCGACCAGGGAGGGTTAATTGAACCGGAGGTGCAAGAGGCCGTGGCCAGTCTGCTGGCTCTGGAGGGGGATGGCCTGGAGACGTTGCAGGTCACCGTGTCTGACACCACCCCGGACTCCCTCTTGAAAGCCACCTTCCAAGACGGCCTCCCGGACGGCCACGAACGACGGCGCCTCGCCTTCCACCGGGCGATGGCCACTGAATTGTACGACATGACCCAGCGCTTCAAGGTCATGATTGTGGCGACGAGTAAGGACCGTTCGGAATCTGTTCTAGAACGCCTGCAGCCCTCCGGTAACGAGGCTCCGTCCCTTCAAAACGGGTTGATCGCCTTCTTCAGCGACCCTGCGAGCACGGACGTCGGCTCGTTGCAGCTGCTCTACGACCGCATGATCTATGTCCCAGCCTACAACACAAGAGGCCTTCTGAACAACGATATGAACCTCCCCGGTGGGCAAAGCACGTCATTGGGCACGTTCTCAGTGGCGTTACAGGATGCAGAGCAGCCGGCCATCCCCGTCACTTCCGCACATTATGGAGCCGACAACAACTACGTGGCTAGTCTGGCCCACTTTCCGCCCGGGGCCTCCGTTGGACTGCGTCTGGTGAAGGTGGGGAGTGGCTTAGGGATGACAGAGGCCTCCTGGCCCTTGGGGACTATAAACGTGGACAAGCAAGGGGTGGGGAAGCTGGCCGTCCAATTCCAGCCTCTGGTGCATCGCGAAGGAGACTACTTCCTGAAGGCAACTGAGACCAAGTCTGGCATTTACAATTTCTCCCCGGTCTTTTCCGTGGATAAAGGTGCGCGGCGGCGAAAGATGTATGGGCCCGAAATGTTTTTTTGAGTAGGGACGAGGCTTTTCAAAACGATTAGCTTCCCAAGCGGAAAGTATTGACAATCGAGAGAAAGCACACACAAAAAGTATTATAAAAGAAAAGTTGTGATTATGTCTGGGGATAATGATCGAGACAGAGGAGAAATAAACTTTATTACGATCGCTCGTTATGTCTCATAATTTCCTGCGTAGAGTAGGACTGAACTGAACGAGTACTGTGAAAGGAAAGTGGAATAATCTGGATAAGGCAATAGTACTTCTAAGCTCTGTATAATTTTTCATCCGGTAACTGCAAAATTATTTGGTCAACATTGGGGAAGGAGGGTTATGGATGTTTGAGTTCTGTTTGAGTCAACTAAGTCATCTCTT